GTATACGCAACAATGACTCACCGTCCCAGCTGTCCTTTCCTTTAGAAATGGCACAGCTAGTTTGGTGAAGCAGTGGTAAGATGGCATGAGTTGATACACTGCGTCTGGATATGTCATATGTCACGTATCACCGCTTATGTCTCATCATTGTGCAGCAATCATTTCCATTGTCCTTCTTAGCTCCTCCCTGTTGTTGATCGGTGGATTCCTCCTTCGAATTTCCAGCGCTTCTTTTATTTTCCTCTCCACCGGGTCACTTATGTTCCTGTAGATCACGCGCACCTTGAGTTCAGGTGCACGTTCATTCGTGTGGCGCGAGGAACGATGCCTCGAGAAAGGGTTATCCGGATAGCTGGCCGGGTTCCGGAGAGCCCTTAGGTGTTCATCGAGCCTTTTGTAGAGTGGTCGTCCAGTTTCTCCAATGTAGAAATCCGCACATGACGCACACTCCACTTCGTACACGGTGTTCTTCAAAAGGCAAATCTTTCGTTCCTCCTGGCAGTAAAGACAGTTTTCGCGGCCACATTGATCTTCGTATACTCGCGACGACGTAAGAAGACGACGTAGCGTTGGCGGCGGTCGAAATATCAAGCGGATCGGCATCCCTGAACTCCTTACAACTCGATTGACATCCTTCGCGAAGGAGTCTGAGAGAAAAGGAATTATCAGTGGAACGCCTCCTGGTGCCTGATACGGGCGCCAACAATTTACGCGTCGCTACGTCGTCTTCTTACGTCGTCGCGAGTATACGAAGATCAATGTGGCCGCGAAAACTGTCTTTACTGCCAGGAGGAACGAAAGATTTGCCTTTTGAAGAACACCGTGTACGAAGTGGAGTGTGCGTCATGTGCGGATTTCTACATTGGAGAAACTGGACGACCACTCTACAAAAGGCTCGATGAACACCTAAGGGCTCTCCGGAACCCGGCCAGCTATCCGGATAACCCTTTCTCGAGGCATCGTTCCTCGCGCCACACGAATGAACGTGCACCTGAACTCAAGGTGCGCGTGATCTACAGGAACATAAGTGACCCGGTGGAGAGGAAAATAAAAGAAGCGCTGGAAATTCGAAGGAGGAATCCACCAATCAACAACAGGGAGGAGCTAAGAAGGACAATGGAAATGATTGCTGCACAATGATGAGACATAAGCGGTGATACGTGACATAGCATATAGGCAGTGTAACACTGCATGGCCATCTTACCGCTGCTTCACCAAACTAGCTGTGCCATTTCTAAAGGAAAGGACAGCTGGGACGGTGAGTCATTGTTGCGTATTACTGTTTGCCACAACATCAGAGACGCTGTCTGTTTTTGCCCTTTTTTTTATCGTTTGCAGCATATTCCCGGATCTCCCACCCGCCCCGACCGACCCTCCCTCCCACAAGAATCCGGTCAGTTATTTGTTGATTGTTTCCCCTTGGAATTCCTTGCCTGCGTTTGTAAAGTTAGATGGTGTTGGTGTAAGCTTTGAAGAGATTAATTGTAATACCTGGGGTAAGAAGGGCTTAAAGCTCCGAAAACGTCGTCGATGGCAATAACGACTGGCGACGAGTTTCATTTTATCATTACAAAGAAGACCAGTGTGACTAAGCAAGCGGCCATAGATTACCCGCCAATAAGTGTCTGTAGCATAGGAGTCTGTTACGATAACGCGTCAACGCGCATTACAAAGTAAGGACGCTACCTTACCCTTCATAAATACATCAAAGGAGCTCGGGGATCGGTCTGACTTATTGGTTTGCCTTAGTTAGTATTTCCCGAGCACCACCATCTTGGAAGACATTTCACCTCCTTTCGTGTTCAAAACTATGTCCAAGTTACAGCAACGAAGACCTTAACGCCTTCCACACCTGCAATTATCTTCCCTCCTCGATCGGAACCGATGGAAAGTTCAAAAGAAAACATCTTGTCCTTTGGGCTACCACCATATGGCGACCTTGAGAGCCCAAGTTTCCTAAGGCTGCATGCATACTCCGCTATAGACGGATTCAGATGAGTCAGGTGACTGCGACCGACCGCGCTCCAACGTTAATCGGTTGCAGCAGTTGCAACTTCTGGTCGAACTCGTGCGATTTGGGATAGAGTGGGATAGAGCCTCTTACAGTTATAACGGCCAATGGTTGGCGCGCGATCCGCCACAATCGGCGAATGAATCGCCAGGGTCACGGAGTATGAACACGACCTTGCACTTTTCTGTTCGAAGCGTTAACTACCTTAGCAGGTTCTTTGAAGTGGTTTTCATCACTCATTATTACAGATAGTTCAGCAGCAATCGCAGTGTCTTTAGGTATGGAATGTCCGCCGACAATTCTGCTTTCCTTGGTTCTGCGGAACAAATTCAAATTTAGAATGGCCGCCAGACGATGTATTTCCTGGAATATAAAGAAAAAGAAGTCTCGCAATAATGAAGCTTTTCCAAAATTACACGAGCTCAGAATAGCTGACCAGTAATGTCCAGTTCAGATATGGGGTATGGTCCTTGTCAGATAATGAAATTGATCGATTATGATTTGTGACTGCAGCAAGCTCTGCTCTGATTTTCTCCATAATCTGAAATATCTATTGGGAGGCGGTGACATGGAACTAGTATTGAGTAAGGTTATTACGTTGTTACCATATAAGATTTAAAAAAATTGTGACATGTTCTGAAGAGTTATGGGATGTGATTCACCATTGCCGTGTGGGCTACAAAGGAGAAGTTGCAAGCAGCATCACGTGCGCGGCATTTGCACCAGTATCCGATTGGAAGTGCCGCAGAGTGTCAAGCAAATCCAGTTATGGGATATTGCGCTAGATTGTGCGAGACTTCACATTGGAGTAACGTCTCCCGCCCGGCAAAAACTACCTTCAGAGCTAGATGGGACAGGGGTAGGGTATAACTGGTCCACACCACCCAATGACTCGGAAGGCTTAGTGTG